TAAAAGATAAATTGATCTGCGTATAACAAAAAAATTTAATAAAAAAGGATTCGTGGTCGATTACGTTTAGGGAAGGATTAGCACCCCTATAAAGCCCAAAATTGGTACTTATTAATTATAAATTATCTCTATTATTGGAAAATTAAAAATTTAAAAATATATTTAATTCATAATCTTGTTATAAATTTATTAGTATAGTTTTAAGAAAATATATTAATATCTATATATATTTTTTTATTTTTATAAATAAGATATTTATTTACTTTAGAAATATCAGAAAATGACTTCTAGGTGCTTTAAGACAGCCCATTTCTTAATATATTAAAAAAATAAATAAATATTAATAAAACATTAAAATAAATTAATATATACTTTATAAAAATAGGATATTTATTTATTTAAGAATATCAAAAAGGACTTCTAGGTGCTTTAAGACATCCCATTTCTTAATATTAAAAAATAAATAAATATTAAAATATGATTATTTTTCTTAAAAGTAATTTATATAAATTTATAAATAGGATTTTTATTTAATATATATATAAAATATAAAAATAAGTAAATAAATATTATTTATTATATGACTACATAATAATAATAAAATAATAATAAAAATAATAATTTAAACATATTGAAATAAAAAGGACAATAATAAAATGCAAATAAATAATAATTAAATAAAATTAAACAACAAGATTAAAATGTAAATTATCAAAATTAATGAACGTAATTCGAATTATTATAAAAAAATATATAACTACTAGTAGTGTAATTAGCCCTTAATTATTAATAGGTGATTAAAATAAATATTAATTAAATTATGAGGGACTAAATAAGATATTTAACCTAAGATATATATAATTAGGTCAGGGATTAAATTATAATAAATAGCAATTCGAATACCAAATTAAAAGTTCAGAAGTTAGTTTCAATGACTAAAATATAAATAAAAAATTAGAAAACCGAATCAGAATACTTATAAATTAGATTTGGTGACTAAAATATAAAATATGAAACTATAGGTATAGCGTGTATAGTTTGGTCATTGGTGAAATTACACACATACCCTCCCCAAAACGGTGTCGTTTGAGAAGGAATATATAAACCCAAAATGGTCGGTCATAATGGCCATTTCCTTTTATTTTTCATTTTTCACTCTCTCTCTCTAAAAGAGAGAGATGAAAAATGCTCTCCCCTCTCTCTAGATTTCCCTCGTCGGAGGGAAATCGGTCATTGGTCGACCGCCAGCCACCGACGGTGGCCGAAAAATAATAACTTACACCAAAATGAAACCCGACTACCCCAATACCGAATCTGGCTTTGATTTCCCCTAAAAAAACTCCTAATCAGAGTAAATCTAGATTTTTACCTTCGAAATCCGAAGGTTTCCGGTGACGTTTCAAAGGTTCAATGATGGTAAGTATTCCTCCTTTTCTTTTCGTTTGTTTTTCGTCTGCTCTGTGGTTCCTGTTTGTTGTGTGTCTTCTTCGTGGTTGTTGGTTCTGGAGTCTTCGACGGTGACGTGGCACTGTAGTGTCGACAGCAGAGGCGGCGGCCGCGTGGTAGCTGAGGAGGCGGTTGGAAACGTGGCCCTAGGGTGATGATACCCTAAGGTTTCATCTGGAATCATCTGAGCCATTGGATCAAAGCCAGATCCAATGGTGGTAAGAAGAGGCGGCTGGGATAAGAGAAACCCTAGTTGGGTTTTAGGGTTTCGTGGGCCTGTTCTAATAGGGCTTGTAAACTGGGCTTTGGGATTTAATATTTAGGCCTATAATATGTAATAATAATATTTATTAATAATAATAAAAATATAATAATTATAACAATTATAATAATAATAATAAAATAAAACGGGCAAAAATTTAGTGTCTACAGAACTGAATTCAAGTTATAATTTCATAAATTCGGCTCGATTCAGATTTTTTTTTAAATCGAGTTATAAAACATATCTCGAATAACTCAAAAGTTTTAGTAATTAATGAATTATTTTTCAAGTTTGAGTCGAGTATCTTAACTTTGTACGATGTATATATATCACATACGAAGAAAAATATATATTGTATATGGTTGTAAAATATCATTTAAATTGAATTTAAATAGTCTTATGATATAAATATTTATAATTAAATTTAAACAAAAACTCGAAAACTCAACTCGACTTGAATTTTATAAACTCGATATCAAATTCGAGTTATAAAATAAGATTTGTCCAACTCAAATAACTCAAAATTTCAAATCAAACTTAAGTTTCTAATACTCTTTATTATGTTTCGGAAATAAAAATTGATAGTTCTTCTATTCATGATTAAAGTAATGAATTGGTAAAAGAGATAATTTTTTAATTAAGAAATTGTGTTTTAATAGTATGAGATAATTTTAAGATAATATTTTTAAAAAAATTATTAATTAATTATTGACAACATACACCTTACGGTAATTATTTAAACTCAAGATCTATGAAAAATAACACTCTTTTTAACAACTGAAGTTGCAATCTCTATTGAATCAAAATCATTGATAATTATCTATTCTAAAATAAAATAAAGTAATCTTTGGATTCACTGTAAAAATTAGTGCAAGTTATGTCAAATATTTTCTTTTTATTCAATGTAAATTAAGTTTATTTTCTTTTAGTAATGAAAAATATTTCAATTCAAGTTGGAATTTCTTTTACTTTGAAAAAGAAACCATTTGTACCTTGAATTAAATTGGATTGAGAAGACTATTCTTATAATAAATATTCACAGTCCTCATTGTAGATTAATTAATTAATTAATTGAATATCAATTCTTATCTTTACTTATAAATAATTTGCTGCATAAAATATTTGTATAAGAAAAGGACTCCTACTTTGTGCTTTTGATTTAATCCTCTAATTTGATAGTTCCTTCTACTACTGATTCACGTTATGGATAAATAAAATTAGAGATAAATACATTTCATTGGACATCGGGGTTGGAAACCGGCCGTCGCGAACGACGGCAATTGGCCGAGATCTTAGAGATAATTTTTTTAAATTGGGGAAATCTTGATTTAGAGGAAAATATTTTTAAAAAATAGATTGAATTTTATAGTAATTGCTAAATTTATTTTTAGATAGTAATTATTTTAGTTATCATGTCATGCGATTTAGAAAAAATAATTTATTTATTTTATACCATAAAGATAAAAAAATTAAAAGCACATTAATCAAAATAATTCTTTCTAAAAAGTTTGAAGTAAAATAATATTTTTAATGAAAAATAGTTCAATTCAAGTTGGAATTTCTTTTACTTTGAAAAAGAAACCATGTGTAATATAATAAATTGAATTGAATTGAGAATATAATTCTTATAATAAATATTTATTGTCCTCACTCTAGATTAATCAATTAATGAATTGAATAGCAATACTTCTATTTACTTATTAAATATAGAATAATTGCTACGAAGTATAAGAAAAGGACTCCATACTTTGTGCTTTTGATTTAATCCAAGTACATTATTTAATAAAGGCTTAAATATACAAAAATTGTCCAATGTATGCCTTAGGTTCTAGTTTAGTACCTAACGTTTGTTAGTTTCAATTTGGTGTCTAATGTTACATTCCGTAATTCAAATTGGGTCAGACTGTGACGGATCGTTAAGTGACACTTGTCACAATATGATAATTTTTAAAATTTTATTTAAAATTTAAAAAACTAAAAGTATATATATTTTTAAAAAGAAAATGCAAATTTTGAAATAAACCCAAAACTTTGAAAACCTTCATTTCAACCCCTAAACCTACCCCAGCCACCGCCTTTTTCATCGATGAGGCTCCAACCGACCTCCCCTCCCCAGTAATCAAAACCCCCATGAAATCGTGACCGATTGATGGTCGATCGACCGTCGGAATCGCATGGGATCGGGAATTTCATCCTAGGGTTCGCAAGGTATAAAACGTTGATTCGCCATCGATCGACCGTCGATCAGTCACAATTTCATGGAGGTTTTGGTTGCCTGGGGAAGGAGAGGTGGGGTGGAGCTTCATCGACGACAAAAGATGGTGGTCGGGGTAGGTTTAGGGGTTGAAATGAAGGTTTTCAAAGTTTGTCTTTTCTTTTTAAAAATATATATATACTTTTAAATTTTTAATTTTAAATAAAAATTTTAAAATTACCATATTGTGACAAGTGTCACTTAACGATCCGTCATGGTCTGACCCAATTTGAGTTACGGAATGAAACATTAAGTACCAAACTAAAACGAAATAAATGTTAGACACTAAACTGAAACTAAAGACATATGTTAGACACCTTTTGTATATTTAAGCTCTTTAAACTTATATATAATAGATGTACTGGCTTACTCAAGTAAAACTCTAAACTTTAGTGTTTTGTTGTAATGTAGCCTCTCTCTCTCTCTCTCTCTGTCTCTCTCGGTATAATCAGTAAATATAATCAGTTTATTAGGTCAGTAACAAACAAATCACATCAATTACACATTCAATTTCAAAACAATAAGAAACGTATGAACTTGAGATGAACCCTAATTTCAAAAAACAAAAACAATACAAATATAACTCATTTAAACCCATCATTCTCTTGAGATGAAACCTAATTTCAAAAAACAAAAACAATACAAATACAACTCATTTAAACCCATCATTCTCGTAAAAGATGGCTGAATGCAAGAGAAATAAAACGAAGCAAACATCTTCAGTACAAAGGTGGTGTCATCGAAGGTCGAGATAGGGGCCTCGGCATTAGATATAGGTGCGGTTGCCGTGGCTTTTGAGATAGGGAGAGGGGAACAACCTACCAGTTCAATTTTTACTGCCTCCGTCACAATCGCCACGTCCAAAAATAGCCTCAACTTCAATGACACCATTACTGTTGTTTTATTCATGCCTAACAAGTTTCACTATTCTTAAAATGAATTTTTGATGTTCGATCCCTCAATGTATAAATCAAAAACCTACAGTACTCTGACCCTAATCAAAGAAACATACAATTCAGACGTCAATCTTGCAAACATATGAAAACAGAATGTGGCTGTTAGCAAAAAGGCTGAATAGATAGGTTGGCAAAATGGTCAGACAAAACATTCAAACACATCCAGATAACTGCATTGTTATCCTAATTATGTATCATATACCATTTAACAGAGTAGCTTATTGAAGTTCAACAGCATGCATGGAGATAACCAGCAAAGAGAACATTAATTTTAAAAGAACATGTCTTGTGCTGGCGATATGAAGGGACTGATAACTCTCAGCGATAAAGCAACGATGAACCACCAAAGGCATACCGGGACGAAACTGATGTAGAAGCAGATGCAGGTTTAACATCTCGATGACGATGTATCTGGTTCCGATCTATTAAAGCACCAGAAGGATATGCAGAATATAACCTATCCACTTGGTTGCTTTCCCTCCTCAAAAGATCAGTCTCAATTGGCTGTGCCTCTCTCGGGCGAGGTAGGTAAGCGTCCACCAATGGATCACCAGAATAACGGCCATAATATGGATCTGTACTATAGGAGTCCAAGGTAGAAGCACCAGCTACAGATGTGTTTGCAGTTCGTGCAGAAACTGTTGGTTGCATTTCCCGTGTAGCACCCAAATCATAAGTCCGGTATTCTCTTTCAGTTGAGTAAAGAGGATCAGAGCAAACTGTATCTCTCTGCGAAGGCACAGGTTCCCTGTATACAATATCTGGTTGTCGCAGAGATGCCTCTCTGTGATCTCCCATGTAAGATGTTAACCAAGGAGTGATACGATGCTGAGGAGTCAAGTTACTTCTGTCCCCCAGAAGACTATAAGTCCTATATTCCTTCTCACTAGGGTATAAATCATGACCATCCTCCCTCTTAATAGATGCCAACTCTCCATATCCAACTCGCTGATCCCTTTCACAGGGAGCATAACTTCTAGCACTAATATTGGTATAAGGATCCCTAAGAGAAGCTTCCCTATGTGATGGGGGCCTTGCTTCCCTTGGTCTATCATGAACTTCCCTTGATGGGCGGTGAAAAGGTGACGCAGTTGATTTAACTGGAACCGGTCGAAAAAGTTCTGTGAGCTTCCGAACCTAATGGAAATATTGGATGTTGTTAATGCAAAAATATGAAAGGAAACTATGAACATCAAACTAACAGGTAAGAAAACAATTCCTTGCCTGTCTAACAGTAAGTTCAGTTTTGAATTTGTTTTTCTCATCGTAATTTTCCCTGATTGCCTTCTTGAAAATGTTCTCTGCCAGAGGAAGACAATCAGCATGGACACTGAACCGTACCTGAAACAAAGTCATTGGTACAGAAATCTCCTTAAAGTAACGAATAAGAAAAGTTGTACATAAAGGAAGATGGCTGAAACAAAACGGTACCTGAGCAGGGAAAGCCCCACCAAAAGCCTTGGGCTCGAGTTTCATGCCACCAGAAGAGGAGGCCTCATAAATCCCATACAAAAGCTTGAGATCATAATCATAGAGGAAAAGCTTAACACCAGGCCTAATGCCCATAACAAGATCCTTTTTACCTGCTGGTACCCCCATTACATAATATCCGAAACAATCTGGCTTGGTCTTTGCGTTGCACATAAATATTAGACCATCGATCTTTTCTTTCTTTATAATTTCTTGTTTCTTTCCCTCACCATCTCGCTTTTCGCCACTTGTGTTATTCCTCATTGAATTATTGTGTTTTTCCTTCTGTTCATTTCGTTTTCTTCTTTTATTACCCTCCTCATTTTCTTCATTCTTTGTATTTCTATTAGAAGGGCCAGGTTCCTCACCACTTTTCCGTTTATTGGGATTGTTATTTGATTTTGTAATCTTTTCCTTGCTATCAGATGCACTTGTATCTTCTTGATTCTTTTGGATCTCCTGGCTCTTCTCTACATGCTCCATACTTGTGGTAGCATCCTTTTTCTGATTTTCTTCAATTGAGTTTAACTTTGTAACGCCATTTTCAATTGCTTTACTGCCTCCTGATATGCTCGTGCTTTTCTTCTTTTGTTTTTTCCTCTGGACCTCAGAAGTAACATTTGCTTTTCTCGTCTTTAGGAAATTGTTGGCCACTGACTTTGCAGTATCAGATTTGGCCTTCGATAAATTAGAGCTTTTCTTTTCAGATGATTCTGATTTTGCTAAGTCTACTTCAGTAGTGTCAGCTACATTTTTGTTATTTTCTCGCTCCATAGTCGACAGAACCACAGAATCTTAAAAGCCAACTATATCCCTGGTCAAACCAGCAGGCAAGAAGATAAAATTCTAAAACAGGACAGGAATGCGTGAAAGAGAGTAACACATAACAGTATCTCTTGCCAGTGGAGCATGATCTATAAAATAGACTCCATAGCAGACGTAATTATACCATGTCCCAGATACCCATAGAAGAGTAACACCCAAAAATAGAGTCCACATTCAGATTCCCACCTCATATTTTTATGTTTGGATAGTGACTAAATGATAAACTTGGCTGCAGGTGTTACATTGACATATTCCAACTGTCTTGAAATATCACATTTACTGTCATACAATTTTTACATCCGCATTGTGACTTGAACCAGATTAATATTGATTAGCTATAACTTCTTCTCAGTCGTGCAATACTACCAATTTTAATTAAGAACCACATATGATCATCTTCTTGCATTTGGACAATTGAAAGCTCTAACTATCAATTTAAAAGAAACTCGATATAAATATTTAAAGTTATATGCTGGACTCCAAACTAGACGAAGCAAATATCACAGGCCATGAGAAAATTCTCCCTTCTCCTACTTAGAACAAGGAACAACAGTCTAAAATAAAATGCCATAACTTTTAACTCTATTCTTCCCTTCCACCAATTTCATATATCTATTAAACAAGCTCAATTTAATTTCCAAGTAACTAGTGATTCTCTCATTCTGAATGTTTTATTCAGTATTCCAAAAGCGGTTTAGCATACAATTAATGTATATAATATCAATGCACGTTTATCTAAATATCTTATTAGATCCCAGTCCTTGTATAGCTACTGATAAATTCTCAAAAAGTAACACATGAAAGTGCACAAAAATCTGTTCCAGTTCCAACTAAATTAGTAATGATCCTTAAGAGGTCAAACAGCAAAAAAAACCCACATATATCCGAATAAACACAAATTAAAACGCGCAAAAGTAAATTAGAATCGTTTCAATCTTAGCTCTAATCAATCAACAATTTTCACTAACAGTAAGCTTTTACAAAACCCTAGAACGTTAATCCACGTCAAATTCCAACTTACACAGGTAAATCAACGACAAAAAAGAACCCATGAAAACGCAGTAGAATAATCAATCAAAAGAGACCATTCCCATAATTATAAAAATTGAGAAAAAAAATTCAAATTTCCGTTACCTTGCCTCTTCGTTTCCCAGTAGACAAACAATGACAAAATCAAATTACACTCCGGAGAATACCGATACGGAATCCGATCAAACAAGCATATTAAGGATTTGAATCCTCGAAAGTGGATGTTCGGGGGATAAAGTTTTAGGGATCCCTTCAATTACAAAGATAACAAATTTCGAATTTCTTTATTCTCATTTTATCTCAAGGGTAAAAAGAAGAAAAAGAATCTTGAAATAAAAGTATGAACGAATGGACAATGACACGAGTTGCGTTTAGATATAGATGCGACAAAAGCTGGTGGATTGTTAAAATGGTGATTTCCCCAATAAATCACCTTATTCGTTTTTATTTTCCTGTCTAGAAAGACGTCCTGCCACGTGAGGTAAGATGCGCCATGCAACGCGTCTTTTTAAAAGTGTGAAAAATTCATATGTTAATTTTATAAATATTTTTAAAATGATGCCTAATATGTAATTAATTTATGTTAAAGTGATATTTGTGTAAAAATATCAATTTTATCTATTTATTTTTTTATGATATTATTTTTTAAAACATTTAATAATGTTTATTGAGTTTTAAAATTAATTTTTTAAAAATATTAAAATAAATTTTTAATTATAATTGATAGATCAAATGAATTATTATTTATTTTTTAAAAAAATAAATAAAAATCCAATAAAATTCAATAAAATTCAATAAAAATATAATGTAAAGCTAAAAAATATCACATCTTTATTTAAAATATTTTTTTAATATTAATTTTAAAAAAATATTAAATAAATATTAAATTTTAATTTTATTAAAAATGAATAAACATTATTAATTGTTGTTAAAAATAATAATTAATGAATAATAATTCATTTGATCCCTCAATTGTAATTAAAAGTTTATTTTTATATTTTAAAAAATTAATTTTAAACTACTTTATTCTCAAGACCTATAGTCATGTTTATGATTGTTAAACAGTCGTAGGTGTAGAAAGCTATAGGAATCGAATGAAAATTCAATCGTACAAAGTTAATAACTCAAAATTGACTAACTGCTGTCTAAATATCAACTCAATTGTACCACGAATAAACATCCGATCAAAGAGTTGATTTTTTCTGCTCAATCTTCACAAAAACTATTTTGTCTCATCATTTTCTTCCGCGTATGAGCTTCTTTTTTTTATAACATTCATGCAAAAGAATACGTATTGTGTAATTTCATGCAAAAATTAAAATTTGTCGAGTTATAAAATAATTTGCAAAAGAATATTTAAAAATATTTAAAAATATTAGTATTTCTTTTACAAAATGATGATGATGATGATGATAAATATTTTATAATTTAAAAATTTCATATATTTTTGAAAAAATTTATTGACTTTTAAAATTAATTGTTTAAAAATATAAAAAATATTAAAATAAACTTTTAATTACAATTGACTTTTGTAATAAAAGTCACTTTACTTTTGATTTTTCTGTGTGCACATGGACAACTATATTCAATAGAAAAGAATTTAAAAAGAAAGGAACTCATACGCAGGAGAAAATTATGAGACAAAACAGTTTTTGTGAAGATTAAACAGAAAATATCAACTCTTTGATTTGATGTTTATTCGTGGTACAATTGAGTTGATATTTAGACAACAGTTAGACAATTTTGAGTTATTGACTTTGTACGATCGAATTTTCATTCGATTCATGTAGCTTTCCACACCTACTACTGTTTAACAATTATAAACTTGACTAAAATAAACTTTTAATTACAATTGAGGGATCGACTAAATTATTGTTCATTTATTTTTTAACAACAGTTAATAATGTTTATTCATTTTTAATAAAATTAAAATTTAATATTTATTTTATATTTTATATTTTTTAAAATTAATATTATAAAGAATATTTTAAATAAAGAGGTGATATTTTTTAGCTTTACATTATATTTTTATTAAATTTTATTTATTTTTAATTTTTTATTGCATTTTTTATTTATTTAAAAAATAAATAATAATTCATTTCATCTTTCAATTGTAATTAAAATAAATTAAAAGTTTATTTTAATATTTTTAAACAATTAATTTTAAAAGTCAATAAACATTATTAACCGTGGTTAAAAATAATATCACAAAAAATAAATAGATAAAGTTGGCATTTTTACACAAATATCATCATAACAGAAATTAATTACATATTAGGCACCAGTTTAAAAATATTTACAAAATTAACACCCGATTTTTTTACACTTTTAACAAGGCGCGTTGTAGGGTGCATGCTTTAACTATGTGGCGTCAGATCAGCGTAAAGCGCAGTGCAGGGATGTGCTTTCTGTAAAGGGTGTTAGATCAAGAAATATAGTCTAAACGATATCTGACAGGAAAATAAAGACATAGGATGATTTTTCGGAAAACTGCCTGTTAAAATTAGGGTATTCGAATTTTTTATATTTGAAATATTGGGTATTTAGATTCGATTTGTAACCTGGCCTGAAAGAGGTGGGTAGTCATAAATTGCGTACTTGTAAAACTCAAATATTTGTATTTTCAAATAAAATATTTTTTTAATTTATATTAATTTTTTAAAAATTAACATAGAAAACGCAAAATTTAAAACTTAAAAAAATAATAATGCATAACATAGATATAAAGATTATAAATTCAAATTATGTAATCTAAAAATAAAATTTAAAAACATAAAATAAAAATAATTTAAATGGTAAAGTGAAATATTTTGAAAAAAAAATAGAGGTTTAGAATGTCAGGGTAAAATAATTTTGAAATTAGAAATAAAATTTAAATTTAAAATAGTAATAAAATAAAATAAAAAAGAAAATTGGATCGATAGGTCGACTGGTACCCACTTAAGGACAATTTTGTGGTTAGGGCTTAACCTGAAAACCTACCAAAAATAACAGGTCAGATACCTGACCCGCAAAATGAGTACTTATCTTTAAAATACCCAATAATTTATATTGGGTCGGCGGTGGATGGGTGGAGTACATATATTTAACGAATATTTATCATTTTAGTATTGTTTAATATATATTTCTGGAAGTGGCACTCTTTCGGTTGAGCTGGCGAAAGACGCGTCTCCGGGGATGCTCTTTATCCGTGTTTTCGCTGAGTTAGATGTCACGTGTGGAAGGCGCGTCTTTCGCCAGCTCGACTGCCACATATTTTGTTTAATAATAAATATTTTATTTTATTATTATTATAAATTAGTAATATATTATGTAAAGTGTTTCGATTATAATGTAAGAATTATCAAATGTATTTTGTTAATGTGTGTTAAAGGTGGAGTGAATTATCTACATTAATATGATAGAACAATATATGAAAATCAGTTTTGACTTTATTGTAGTTATAGGAAAAATGTATGAAATTATAATATTACACATATGGTTATATTATTATTTTTGATTTTGATTATCGATCTATTAATTTTATCAGTTAATTATTTAAATGTTATCAATCTAGTCATCTCTTATCAATATTTAACGAAAATATTGATGCATAAGTTAATAAATTAGTATAATTACATATTTAATCTTCAAGACTTACATATTTTATGATATTAGTCTTATTAAAAATTTAATTTAATAAATTTAATCCTCCAATCAGAACATGAAATGTGTTATCGAATACATAAATTTTTTAATAACTTTTAATTTGTTTAATTTAATATTTTTCTCTACTTAGAAGGTGGAATTATTATTATATTTTAAAAAGTTTTATAACTAATAATATTAATTATTATATTAAATAAATATATTAAAAATATTTATGTATTTAAAAGTTAAAAAAATTATTTAGGTATACATACATTGACAAATTATATAAATGCAATAACATTAAATTATTAGAAACAAAAACATTCATTTAAATACAATATTAATTACATAAGAGTTAACGGTTATATGATGATAATAGAGCTGGACATTTTTTTCTATTGTGCCCGATGTTTCTACAATGCCCACATCGTTTTTGTTCTGTTGACTTCTCCCGAATATCCATATCACAATGTATTCTAGTAGATTTTGGACGACCGGAGTCCCTCAATAGCAATGGATCTGGTACAATTGTAAGCCAAGTTTGAATCTCATTTGGGTCTCTTTCGTTTCCTATGGGTGGAAACTCAAATTCATATACCTTGAATACTTGTGAAAGTTGGTATACGGGATCAACATAATTTTTGTAGTCCAAATGCGAATGTGAGCAAGCTGCAATGTCTGGAGATATGATCAATATCCAATCGCAACAACATTTCGTTTTCCATTATAACTGTAGACAAAAACAATATAATTAGCACAAAAAAATTAATAATTCTAAATAAATAATAATTATATAAATATTATTTTAATAAAAAAATAGTTGGAGAATTTGAGTTATATAAGAGAGGAGAATATGATTTTGGTGTGAAGAATGAGGGAGGGTTGAGGGGGTTTATATAGGGGAGGAGGAGGGGTAGTTAGGGAAAATGGATGGGGGTATATATGGAATTTAATGGAAGGCACGTCTCCGGGGATGTGCTTTCCACACGTGGCAGTCGAGTCAGTGAAGGCGCGTCCCCGGGGATGCACCTTCCACACGTGGCATCCAACTCAGCGAAAACACGGGTAAAGCGCGTCCCCGAAGACGCGTCTTTTACCAGCTCAGCCGAAAGGGTGCCACTTCGGAAAATATATATTAAACGGTGCTAAAAAGATAAATATTCGTTAAATATGTGTCAGTTCGGTCAAATCGCCATTTTTTTTAATACCCCTAGCGAATTCTACTGCTAATTACAAATTTACTCTATTGCAAAATTTTAAAAATATTTACTAAAATACCAGAATATGTTAATATTTAAATCGGGCTCAAAAGATTAATTGAATAAAATTTACTTAACAGGAGATATAATTGTTTAAATTTAAATTTTTAATGAAGAATAACATTTTTTATTAATAAGACAATAAGTTCAATTGAAACATTACTTTTGTACACGTTTTAGTTCAAATTAAATAATAAATCATATATTTAATTACGTAGGTATGATAGCAAATGAATAAAAAAAATAGATAATAATTCCTCAGACATTCTTTTGTGATTCTTAAAATAAAGAAATCTGTTTAACAAAACTTTTATTCTTTTTATTTTAGAAAATTCTAAATTATTTAACAATAAACGTTGAAATACCTTTGATACTCAAATCCAAAACATTTTTAGATAATAATTATCTCTTTAATTATTGTGGTAATTTAGTTAGTGTAAAAATAATATCAACGATGTTCTTTTTTAAAAGAGAGGGGACATGTTTCGGAATCTATGAAAGCAAGGGCATTCGAAAGTATGGATTTAGATATTTTTAAATTTAAATACCATACGTATCTGAATGCACACAATACCTTTAGATCCAAACATCTTTAAGGACTTCTAATGGATTGAGAAAGGAATTGGATGCATAATGTAATGAATTGATGGAAGAATCGAATAGATTTAGAAAATGTTAAACGAAGTAAAGGAAATAATGTTTTGTGTCCCTGAAAATTTGGGGATTATTTTTCTTTTCCTGTTTGATCCATTTGTTCAAAAAGCAAAACTCAATTTGAAGCGCTAGTGTACTCTTTTCGTCCGTTACAATACACTTTGATCGATTACAAGCCCCCCTTCTTTTTCTGTTATCAAGCCAACTAAAAATCCAGTGGTTTAAGCGAGTAAAACCTGTAACATAGAAGTTAAGCAAAACCAATGAAAACTACAGAGCAACATAGAAATTATGCATTAAAGTTCCAACGCAAAACACTTCTAAATTTCAAAGGCCGCCAACAAAAGAGTACTCTTTTCAAATGACAAACACAAAACAAAGTACACCAACAACCGACTCTTATTAACACAGTTTTTACCTCACATAAACAGCTCTCAAGGCCCCTGCATCTATTATTTTCTGCTCACCATGGCTCAGATTTTACCCTTGCAGACCAATAATACCTACAGAATTTACAATAAAAAGTTACCAATCTACAAGATTAAGAACTTGCAAACAATAGTAGAAATCATAGTAACTACTCTTGCTTTCGCATGCATGATACTACTACAGTGAGAGATGTTAATAGAAAAAAAAAAGTTTGTTCGAATGTGACAGATAACAAAATTTACCACAAGCTACTCTGCCACCAGCATTTCCTGTGCTTTTGCTAAGCTCATGGCCTCCTGCAAATATGATAGCAGTGTCACAAATTATGCCCTAACATCTGGATCCAGTTCATAGCTCCAGCGGAAACTTAGTTAATATTAACAAAAGGGTGACCGATCTAGTGAACTACTTATTTACCAGCGCTCGTACACATGCAAACACTATAGGAGAAAGAAAATAATTTAAGCAGAGTTCGGTTTTTGAACTATTATTACCCTTGCCGAGATCATCAGGATCTGCATGGACTACAACAGCTCTTCCGATAATGGAGTTCGCGCCTTTGAGAGGGATCTGAAGAATTGAAAGAAAAAAAACACAGCTATTAGCGATAAACTCAAGTCAAACACTGGTACAACAATAAACATAAGAGAAAGAAACTTGGATGGATGTAAGCATAAACGTATGAGGAGTTGAACAAAGACCTGGCTGTCGATGATAGAAAAATTTGCAGTACCTGGACCACAAACAAAATTAACAAAATAAATAATAGAAGTAATAGGAAAACAAACATGCTGCTAAAAAAGACGTGAATTGAAACAAAGAATGAAAATATAAAATTTTAGAATCTTTTGAAAACCACTTGAAGCTTATGGTCATTGACCGAAGGCAAATATTCCTACCATCATCACCGACAGTGATATTTCCTAGATCACCAGCATGGCGGTTCTCATCCTGTGGAGCACCATGCTCTTTTCCAGCAGGATTAAAATGGGGCCCTAAAATCAGATCAATCACAAGGTCAAAATCCGGAAAAACAAATACATGTAAGCTGAGATCAACTAAGCCAACTTTTAGACTTTTTACCAGTTGACATGCAACCGTTAGTAGTGTCCCCAAGGGCATGAACATGGAAGCCATGGAGTCCAGGCTTAAGACCAGAAATTTCCCCGGTCACAATTGTTGAACCTAGAAAAAATGGAAAAGATAAAACTTCTACATGAAACACAGAAAACAGAGAGATCTTATCAGGGTTGGTGATTTACCCTCTCCATCTTGGGAGAACAAAATAGTTCCACTAACACCTTCACTGCTGCTAAGGACGGCAACGGCCTTCACCATCTTAGTATGTGATCTATACTACACAATGTTAGATATGCCAGTATACCATTTTACCTAAATCAATACTAAATATATGTACTACATCTAACAATCAATCCAACAGTGTCCTAAATTCAACCAAAAATCATCAGAGAAATTCAAGGAATCACTAAAATAAAATTACAAAAGCTAAAATTTTCATCAAATGAGTTAATTTCTCCCAACTAGAAAAAGACCATCTTTTATGCACGATCATTGAATCATATAACAGCAAAAAAGAAGAATACTTCTCTCAACTAGATTACAATTTCTTAAAATGAAAAGAAAATTTATAACTTTCAAAAATAAAAAAGGAAATCCAGCTACTTCCTTCAGAAATAAGACAAAATGAAAATCCATAGTCATCAAAATCAAGCTTAACTTATGCAGGAAAAATTGGGGGGGGGGGGTTCAACAAGCAAGCAAAATCTAGGTAAGAAAAACAGAAATCAAGAGCAGACCTTGAATAGAAAAATCAAGCTTGAAGTACATAGAAATGGAGCAGATCAAAGCTTTAAAACCCTAAAAATGAATGAAAAATAAGAAAGTCAATAAGAATCTAACCTCAGAGCACCCCTTTACGGACTATAAAAAGAAACAACAAAACAAGATTGTAGGAAGCTTCTATAGTTCTGGCAAGATTAATGTGCACCTACCGCTATCGAGGGTACAATTGGTAATTGATCAATGGGATATTGGGCTTAAAAGGTGTCCTTTTCTCAATAAGAAAATTCCATTCTTCTACCCGACTTGCATGTTAAAATGTTAATAGAAGGCTTAAATGCATATTTTTCCACTCAACTATATTTTTTTTTTTATCGAATTGTTCCTTAAAACGGATTCGCATCTCTTACAATCAACACATTTTTTATCGAATTATTTCTTAAAACGGATTCGCATTTCTTACAATCAACATATTTTTTATCGAATTATTCTTTAAAGTGGATTTGCATCTCTTACAACCAACACGATCTTCTGTTCTTGAGACGGAAACAATTTGCTTAGCTTTACATCCATCCCAAGATATTATTTCTAATACAATGGTGAGATAGGCTCTAGTAAACTTGTAAATGAATCATTATAGTTAAACACCAGACGAATCAACGATTTATCAGAAATTTTCTAATCAATTTCTTTCCTTTGAGATCAACTCATAAGAAAAAGACCAAGATACTTTGATTTCTCACGTTTTAGAAAACATGATATAGATTCTAACATATTAGACATGCTAATTTAAATTGTTGAATCTTATAATATTATATTATAAATATAATATTACTTATTCAACAAAGTTGATTGATTTTTATCCCTTTCCTTAACTATTAATCGTTATCTTATTTGTTTTAAATAATTAATTCCGTTAAAAATAAAATTCACATATCAATTAGAACGCACTCCCCTCCCTCACTTCCATCGTAACATCACCATTTCTAACCCCAACACTTCTATTTTTATTTTCTCTATTTTTCTTCATCTCTCCATTTGACCTCTCATCAACTCTCTTTTGTTTACATTTCACTTGGTCTTTGTCTTGGTTTGTTGATATGGATTGGTTTTTGCTTCTAATGTTTTGTGTTTTAGTTGATTTTTCTTGGAACTTTGATTCGGTTTCGTCCGTATTGATTGAATCATATATTCTTGGAATATGATAACCTGGAAATTTGGATAATTTTTCCTGGTAGATTCAAATTCGTTTTCTTTGATGGGATTAATTGCTTGAATTTATTTTTCTTTCTTTTCCTGGGAACATTGTTTGGTTGCTTGAAAAGAAAAGAAGAAGGAAAGAACCAGGTGAATTTTTTTTCCTGAATCTCTATTTTTATGGTGGTTTTAATAACTGTGTAATACTGCCAATTGGGTGTGAATTGTTCTTTAATTTGTTTGATTTTTTTTAAAAAAAAATTAGGGAGGAATAGTTTGCTAATATGTTTGCATTGTTGGGGAATTTTGAGTTGAAATTTAGTGTTCTTATGTTGAATTATTGAAATCGTGTTTTCAATTTGGAAGCTAATCTTAGGGTTTTCAATTTGGAAGTCTCGTTGGCCGAGGAAGAGAACGCTGATGGGATCTCTTCCATGATCGATCGACGCGATGGAGGGTTAGAGATGGTGATGTTATGGTTACGGCTGTAAATGAGACGAGACAGATCGTGAACTACTCAAAAAGGTTGATAAATAGTCGACTCAGTTAAAGTTTGATAAATACTTGACTCGAGTTTAAATTCGACTTAAATTCTTAACGAGTCAAAATGAACTAATTAATACTCGACTCAAAAAGCTCATGAGCAACTCAAAAATATAATATATTAAGATTTTTTTAAAATAAATTATTGATAATATTTCATTTATGTGTTGATTTTTTTAAATGTACTAGAAGATTTTCATGTATTTAATGTTCATGTTTAAGTTTAAGTTTGAAGTTTTAATCGAGTTAAGTTTAAGATTTTTTTTTCTTTACGAGCTTCAGTTCATAATTTCGAGTTCGAATCGAGTTTAAAAATTTTCGAGCTCGACTTGGCTCGTTTTATAGCCCAAGTTACGGTGGAGGTGGGGAGAGGGGAGGTGGGGAGAGGGTATTTTATGTATAATATAAATTTTATTTTATTTAATAGATTTTTATTTATTCAAATAAAAAATAAATATTAAAGTAGTGATGTGACACGTTCTAATTGATCCATGAATTTTATTTTTAACGATGTTAACAATTTGGATAAACGGTGTAAAGACTTATAGTTGAGGGGGCAAATCGTCTCTAAAAATACTTTAAGGGGGTAATTCAATAAAAAAAATGTATAGTTTAGAGGGAAATATGCATTTAAGCCTTTCTAGAATATAAAAAAATATTATTATTGAAAAAATATCAATAATTTTATATATAATTAAATAATAATAAATGAATAATATATTGTTTGTTTAAAAAAAATAATTGTGTCACCCAATTTTTGAAAGATCAATATCGAAAGGTTTAAAAAGATTAATATCAAAAAGGTTAAAAGGTTAAGAGTTTATCTTTAACAGATACAGTCTTGTAATTACTTCAAATTAATAAAAAAAACTCAGATTAATAAAAGAGATAGAAATAAATATAGAATTTTATGTTGGATTTGTGTCTGCATATATTAAGTTGGTTAATTTAGGTTAATTTTAGTTATAATGTAATTGGGTCGGCTAGATTTTAAAAAATTGTGTCGGATTGGGTTGGTTTGGTTATTGGAACATGGGTAGTGTAGTTGGAATTGTATAAATTGGGTAATGGATATTGTTGGGGCCTCCAAGTATAGGGCTGCTGAGTGCTCAGGGACCCGGTTTTGGCAATATAATTGAGGCCTGGATTGGCCATTAATAGGAAATTTTAACGCCTCAATTAATTGTACTAAATCCACCATTTTCAAAATTGAAGGACTAAAATAATTTTTTCTTAGAAGGACCAATTTGCCCAATTCCAAATTGGGAGGGATTTGAATGACCTTTTCATCGAAATGGAAGTTGGGAAAAAATAGTTGTCATAACGCACTATTTATCTTTTTCTCAATCATAATTCCACTATCGGCATATTCACCTTTTTGGGCGACTTTGGCTTTTTTGACAAACTTTTTGGCGTTAAATTACCCCCTTTATTGAATATGCGAGTGTTTATATGACTCCATTTCGTATTAGAATATTAAATATTTGTTTGAATTATAATTTTTATATTCATTATTTTATAGATAATTTTTTATTCACATTGCTTCCTACCTAGCTCATGCAAGGAATTCTAAAGGTATTCCATCAAATTGTTTAATTAAGCGGTGGCCCAAAAATTAATTAATTAAACCCCAGTGACGTGTATCTCAATTAAAATAGGTAAAAAAGAATCTGTTTTATAAATTATTAATTTTGTTCACCTACAATAGACTTGGAATAAATATTTATGTTGCATGATTGTTTATTTTTTCTTAAATAATTATTTAATTGAAATATGCAAAAGAAGCCATTGCATGGATGTTGATTAACTTAAGTTTGGGTTTAATTACCACTTTGACCACTCAACTATACCCTGTTAAATATGATCATTTATACTTGATCACTCTATTTTCTTATAGTCACCCACACTATTTTTCCTTGTCACATGCAACATAAATTAATCAATAAATATATAACGTGTGTCAGTTTAGAAAGATTAAAACCATATTTAACTTTTATTCCATTACATTTTTTCAAAGTCAATACCATTTTATTTTCTGACAACCACAGTGAATAGATGCATCATCTCATTTTCTTGCTGATCTAAAAGTATTCATCATCTAAACAAAATGTCATCATTTAATACGAAAATACATCATACTAAAAATCCCTTTTTGTACGATGGATGTACATTTCTTTTATTTACATAAATAAATAATATTTCAATAAATAATTTAGATTCGTTGAGTAATTTTAATGGTTAAAAAATATTATTCTCTTTTAATATCTTAGATTTAAACATTATATCTATACGATGTGTAAACATTATCAATAATTAAAAAAATTATAAATAAATATATCCTATATGTTGTAGTCACCTATAATTATTAAATAATAATAAATTAAAAGGATCAAATCTATAAATAAATTTAACGACGGTGTTCAGTAAGATGATCGAATATCAATTATTAAATAATTAAAAATATTTAAAAAAATATATAATTTTATAATCACTTTAATTTAATTAAAAAAATTAACGACAGTGTTACGGGATAATAAGCCTAATTTAGATGCACAGTTGTGGTTCTTCTCCGATTGAAATTCAAGAACTCTGTTGGGGGGATGTTCATGGCTCACCGTACACCAGGACTGGCTTAGGCTTAGGCCTTCTCTTTAATTCAAAAAGGAAAAGAGTATATTGAATTATCCAAATTTTGAATAAATTAAAGCTATACTCTTTTCCCTTTTTTTCTTTTACTTTATTTCTAGAAAACTAAAGCTTTGGTTGCTTTTCTATGATTGTCTCGCTTCGCTTCGCTTCTTCGGCCTTTTTCTTTGTCTCCCAGTTTCCATCTCTTCTACTACCAAATTCCTATCGTCTCTCTCTCTCTGACAGGAGATTCTTTCGTTGAACCAGGTAAGCTTTCGCTCTTCTGATTCTCACTTTCCCGCTGAATTTCATGTTCAATGGAACTGGAAACCCTAAGAAACGGTGTCGATTTGCCTGGCTTTTTCTCGAGTTTTGATCTCCGGATCCAATTCAAAGAAGGCAATCCAACGTTGCTGTTTCTCTTGAGTTGAAGTTCGACTCAGTTTCGAGTTTGTAATTGTTTTTTAGCTCAATTTTTTCATAGCTGGAGTTTGTTTGAGCTTAAAATGATTCGAGTTGGAAGCCAATTCATTATCTGGATCTTTGCTTTCAAAACTTTAAAACCTCTTATTGTTTTCTGTACTTTTGATTTCAGAAACTTCTCGCCTTAGTTTCAACGAACTGGGGTCGTTGCTTAATCGTAGTTTGGAATTTAAACTGCGTTGCTTCAAGTCTAATCTGAGTCAAAGCACGTCAAACTCTATTTTCGTTATCAATTTTTAAAAATTAAAAAATGGAATTAGCTAACCATCGTTGCTTATTAGTATGACAGTAATTATCATGTGCAGATTAAGATTTGTATGCTGATAGAAGAAGGAAAATGAATACACAACTTTTGGAGATTGAGCCTAAGGCGCTTGAATTCAGATGTGAGTACATAATTACTTGATTTTCTGTTCGTTGTTGTAACACAACTATTTTTTTAATAGTAATAATTAGTATAAAATACTTTTGATTTTTTTTGTTGCATTTATCAGAAGAAATAATCAATCTTATTTTATAATCACTTTGTTTTTCCCCCCTTAAACCTCTTCCTAACTCTTTATTATTTTTATAGAAAAAGTATATCATATAGAACCCATAGTAAATAATAAGACTTTTTCGCAGCAATTATATTAATATTTCTGGATTTTTTATGGAAGAATTGAAAGGGTAAAAAATTTAATAATATGATTTTCAGTTTAGCTTTGATATTAATTTAAATAATTGTCTATTTTCCAGTTAGAGTTATTTATTTTTGTTTATTATAGTTACGTTGAAGAAGCCATGCTCCTGCTCCGTCAGACTCACAAATAACACTGACCAAAATGTTGCTTTCAAGGTCTGAACTTTGAACCAGGCCTTTCTGCATTCTCTTTATTATTTTTCTTTTCTTTAATAAAGTTTATGACCTTTGTTTTGGATTTTTATTTTTAAGTTTAGAGTACTGGATTCTAATGTAATTTCAGCAATGGTAATTTGCAGGTTAAAACTACATCTCCTAAGAAGTACCATGTGCGGCCTAGTTTTGGCATTATTATGCCCAAATCAATATGTGACTTTACAGGTAAGGAGCTTTTGTACCGAAATGTATATGTCAATGCTTGTGCATGTAACGAATGAATTTCAATGCGTTTAATTGTACAAGTCTAATCATCGAGTTGAGGTCAAGTTGTAAGAAGCTCGAGTTTCACTTAAAATCGAGGTTCAAGCTTGATCAAGTTTTTCTTTTGATGCTTGAGCGCGATTAGAGACACAAGCAAACTGCTCAAGCTTCACTTCGGTTAGGCTTCGCAGCTACGTGTATAAAGCGTTACAATACTCAAATGTGGCATGCCGAGCCTATTTGAGCTTGAGCTCGACTCTATTGAACCTAATCTGAGCTAACATTTGTGACGTGCGACTACAAATCATAGTTAAGTTTCCTTTATTCTTATAATGGCTCATAACTAAGGTGTTAGTAGATATAAGGTCATCTGGCTAAGGAACCGTACAAGTTTCAATGATTTTGCCATCTAGTAAAGTGCAAGGAATGGGATAAGCCGATAAGAGTAAATTTTGCAGTTTAGGTGCTTTAGAGGCAGTGCATGTATCCCTGCAGTTGGCTATTGGCTGGTTTCTTTTCTATCCGATAATTCATGATTAATTTCATGAGAATGCAAATATATTGAGCAAACAAAAATTAAATACTTGACAAACGACAATCTTTACAACAATCTGCCATTGTGCTGCCTCATCAGTGGCTGGACAAGTGAATCAAAGTAGTGAAATTTCTCATACGACTTCTTCATCCTTTTCTTTAATTTCCTGTGTCAAAGTATATGTCTCACCCTTTTTCATTTATTTTGGTTGTTTTTTATTCAGTTACCATGCAAGTCCAGCTCGAAGCTCCTCCTGATATGATATGTGGAGATAAGTTCTTAATTCAAAGCAAAGTTGTCCCTCTTGGAACAATTGATGCGGACATTACATCTGCCACAGTAAGTGATTTTATGCTCAAGTCGTGCTCTATTTGACACTAATAAGTGACTTTCACTCATCATTTTGTTTGATAGTTTGTCAAGGACAGTGGAAGGTATATTGAAGAGCACAAGCTTAAAGTTGCTCTTGTCTGCCAATCTTATTTGCCAGTATCATCAACAATTAATGGGATAACAAACCAGGGAACAGATCATAATGCTTCAATACCAAAAGAGCCAGAACTATGTCGAGTTGGGATTCATGCACCATTGCAGACGGTTAGATGTGCATTATTTATTCTTCCAGACCTTAAAATAAAGTCACTTCGGTTCTGACACACATATATGTTTATATACATACATGACTTGCAAGTGTGATTGCATTATCTTTTGAAGGAAAATACATGTTCTTTTAAATCTGAAGGTGAACTTGAATGGAACTTTGAGTTCAAATATGATTTAAAGACGAACTTCATGTCCGTTGATTAAGCTTGTACCTAACAGTAACACTTCTATCAATGTTCCCTGCTCTGTGACAGGTTGCCAGGGTTGAGGAATCAAAAATGATAAATTTGGAAGATTCAAAGACTACAAAGGAAGTGGAGTGGAAGCCAAAGAAAGATATGTTCTATGCAGAGAATTTAAAGCCGAAGAAGGATGCAGAGCCAAAGCCAAAGCATGGTGTTAATGATGATGACTTAAAATTTACAAAAGAATCCGAGCTGAAACCGAAGAATAATTTTTTCAATAGCAAGGAGTTAAAGCCGGTGAAAGATGTGGAGTCAAAGCCAAGGGAGAATATTCTTACTGAGGAATTTAATTCGGTGAAGGAAAAGGAGTTCAATGCATTGAAGGATGTTGAAGGGAAAACATTGAAGCCAGTGGAGGAGCGAAAGTTTGCCAAAGATGCTGAAGAAATGAAATCGAAACTGGCCAACCTTGAATTTAAGCTAGGCGAGGTAAGTTTATTTATATTTAAGGCAGTTTTTACGTAGTTACCATATAAGAAGAGATAAAATTAGTAGCCAAAATTACGTAGTTACCATAGAAAAGTACTTGTGTTCGGCATATATACCTATATTTGACGCACTTCTGTGCGAGTAACATAGATCTGCTAAGCTTTAGTAACACTAGTGGTCAATTCCTCTATCAGGCTGAAGCTACCATATCAAAACTGACAGAAGAGAGGAGGTTAAGCACTCGAGAACGAAAATTTTTACAAGACGAGCTTGTAAGTTTCTATCCGTGCATTCTTGTTCTAGTTCGTGTTGCATGTTCCAAATCATGCGTTCAACAATAGACAATAAATTCTCCAGCCACTTGTTTAGCGTGATCTTATGATGTCACTTATTTTCTTGACATTTTCTTTTGGACCAGTGTGATGAATGGTGTACCGTGGAACGTCTTCTCGTTCTCACTTTCTTAGAATAGGCCAATGATTGTCTCTTAACATGTGACTATCTTTCTGTCTTTTAAGTCCACTATAAATCCAGTTTTAGACCACTGGTTCATGGGTCAATTGCAGCATAGATGCTCATTAAGTATGATATTCTGAGTAGATTATTTGAATCTGGATAACACAAGTACAATGGGAAATCCATTTAAATTTATTGAGAATAAACTTATGTGTCAATATTATGCAGGTGCTATTGAGGAAAAAGGCGAAGCTCAAAGAAGCTAAAGTGGGAATCCATCTTTTATGTGTTTGTATGGTGGCACTCATCAGCGTCTACATCGGATGCTTTTTGGTGAAGAACAGGACTTCCATGTCAGATCTTTACCGGTTATAATCAATACGAGATTAATCCGTTGGTCAGGCAACTGTTTTCCTTTTTCTTTTTGTTAATAATAATAGTAATGATAATCATTTTGTCGTCTGGAACAATTACGAAACTTTTATGGAGCAAATGGTAGTCAGACATTGATGAGTTCTTTTGAGGATCAAATTAGGTGTTGAACTCGTGGGTGTAAGTTCTTGATTTGGTGTCTCGTAAAAGAATAAAGATAACATAGAACACAGACACGATACAATGATACATTAGTTTAGGCCTTAAAGTAGTTAATAAAATCATCCTAAAAATTTAAAAAAATGATAAATCAATTACCATCTGCCTGAGCTGCACTTGCGCTTCCAGGCATGGCTTCCAATGAAGCAGTTGAAGAAGAACAGATGAAGGTATTAAAACCTCGGAAGGCCATGGAATTATTAGAGGTATAAGAATCCAAGACGAAAAGAAAATAAAAATCAAATATTTTATAGATTTACAATTTGCGTCCATGGTGATTCATACAAGTCGCGGCAAATGACATTCAATTCCTTGGTAGAATCTCAACCTAAAATTCGAGTATATGAATCAAGAAATAAAACAAACACAATCAATAACATAGAAAATATTCGATCAAAAAATCTGAATAGAAAACCATAAATATATTAATAGAAATAAGTTGAGGCCTGCAATTACGTAGTTTCCTTAAGACAGATTTTCTTCCACTCCTTGGTGCTCGAGATCTTTGGTCATCTGTCTCCCAGGATACAACAATGGGATGATTAACGCACAGTAGTACAACTGTCGAGATCACGAACTATTCTTGTCTTCGCCTATAACCAAAAACTAAAAAAAAAAAAGAATTCATTTGAATTGGTTTTTGAGTTGTTTTTGAATTGTTTATAACCTAGTAGGTTAACATATTATTTATAGAGAGTTCACATTGTGAACAATTGAAAATTTTTAACCGAAGCATTAATGAAAATCAAGCAATTAAACAATTTCTAAAATTACTGTTTTGATTAAAGGAACATTTTTAATATTTATCCTTTTAATTCCAAAACACATTTTGAAATGATATGAAAAAATATTTTACTTGACCGGTTCAGACATTAACGTTACCCACATCGTGCACGTCTGCACATTTACGAACCAATAATTGGTTTCACATTTTCCTCAATAACGTTTGGATCAATTTCTCATTCAAAATTCTAAAATTATCGAATTTTTCCAACAGGATTTGGTATCCAGTACCTCCTTTGGTTTCTGCCCTGCCACCGTTTCCGACAGCATTCCCTCGATCTTTCATTGTCCCAAGGCAGGCGGAACGGGCAAACGGGGCAAGAGCTATGAAGCTCCAACCATGGAGTAGTGCATTCGCCATGGAACTTATGTTTACATGGCATCTCTTTAGCTTGACTCCCGATTTCAGTATCTTCCAAACACGCACAACATTGTACGTTGTCATCAATGGTTCGGCATCGCTTTCATAGCTTCTTTCTAATCCGGTTGGATTCCATGGTGGTTCCGATCATTGTCCGACAAATACTGTAACAGAAGATCCCAACCAGGTTCCATTAGGTAATCACTAAAACACATGGCTGACCTTAGGATTGAGCTTTGTCCGTTGTTGAAACCGAAGTGAACCTTGAACTGTCAAGGCCTTGTCCTCCCCATAACCTAAATATTTTAAAATAGCCCCATCGGCAAATAATGTCAAGTCTCCGCCACTGAACACTTGGGTGCTTTTAGAATTTAAACCAAAAATCATACGGCAGCCTCATGCGTGAATCAATTAGAAAGGCAATGGGAAGAAAGAAAAATGAAGCACAACAAAGAAACTTTAAAAATCTAGAACATATTAGAAGGAAAAATGATCCTATATATGAAAAATATTTTAATTTAATTTATTATATGATGTATTTTTCATTTAATTATTAATATTTAATTGAAATTTTTAATTTTAACTTTATAAATATTTATATAAAAAAATATTTCAATTTATTTTATTTTATTTGTAAATATCATAGTTTTAACTCTTGAACTTTTAATAATCATTTATAATATATAATCAATCTTTTCTTACCCTGTCTTTTATAATCAAGCTATATTCCTTGATCAATCTTAAAATTGAAATCATCCCACTACCATAACATGACCTACAGTGTAAGATTTCACAATTATATGATACTAATTTATTGCTCTTCTGATTATAGAGTATGATTTGTTGAATCTCCGAATACATGATACTAATTTGTTGAATCCCCTAACTATTAGAGGTGAAAAAATGGTCACCCGACTATTCATTTTAATAAATTTAATCATTTATTAATATTAATTATAATTTTAACTTATATAACTTAAAATTTCTAATTCTAAACAAATTAAATTACTTAAATTAATTATTATTTTTAATAAAAATTATAATTAAATTATAATTCTATTAAAATTATAATTAAATTTTAATAAATGATTAAATTTAAATAAATCCTTATAATTATAATTCTATTAAAATGATAAATTTAATATTTACATTTATTTAGAATTGGAATTTTTAAGTTAGAATTAGGATTTATTTAAATTTAATTTGTTTAGAATTAGGATTTTTAAGTTATATAAGTTAGAACTGGTATCGATACTACCCATACAGTATCGATACCCCTTCAACCAGTATCGATACTACCCTTAATAATTTCACAGATTTTCCCTTGAAGTATCGGTATTGTTCTAACAATATCGATACTCGAAGCCCATAATTACCATTTTTACTTCGAAAATCACTCAAAAATACTCTCAAATCTATTATAAAATCCTTTCTTAAGCCTTTAAACTAAACTTCTTTCATTCAAACCAACTTGTCATCAATTACTACTCTTAAACATACCAAATTCTCACTAAAACACTTACATTTAAGGATCATGCCATGTTTTCAACCAAGCTCTTAATCATTTCTAATACTCCTAACCCTTTAATTAACTCATTGACAAGTAAAAATCTCACCAAAACTCTAAAAACCAAACCATATCAAAAATTCATCTTAAAACCCATTTTACAAATCTATGTCTAAATCACTCCTCTTTATGTTTTAATCCTATTCAAGTTTTCCTTAAACTTATTTAACACCCAAGCTTCCAAAATCAACCCAAAAATTAAAGAAATCATCAAATTTACAAAAGCTTACCTTTGCTAATGAAATCCACGACAAGAAGAAGAAGAGAAAGAAAGAGTTCCATACACTTATTTTTTTTTTCCACATACTTATCCAATAAGGAAGCAATTAAAATATCCTTCCTTGCAAATTACCATTTTGCCGTTGTTAGCCATCCATATTTGCTATAGTACCCAACACAAAATTCCTCCATAAATCGTTAATTTTATCAAATTATTTTAATTCAACCACTGAATTAAAAAGTTCTTACATTTTGGTCACTGACCCGATGATTAGGATGTTACAAATCTCCCCCTTAATAAAATTTGTCCTCGAATTTTCATTGCACAAAAAGGTGGGGAAATTGCTTCCTCATATCCTCTTCACACTCTCGCGTAGCTTCTTCTACTTTATGGTTTCTCCAAAGGACTTTAACTAGTGAAATCGTCTTATTCAGCAACTGCTTGTTTTCAAAAGCTAGAATTTGAACTGATTATTCCTCATATGTCAAGTCAGATTGAACTTCTATTTCATCTGGAGTTATGATGTATGCAGGATCTGATCGATATCTCCTAAGCATGGACACATGGAAAACATTGTGGATATTTTTCATCACTAGTGGCAACGCTAACTGATATGCTACAGGTCCAACTTTCTTCAAAACTTCATAAGGTCCAATAAACTTAGGACTAAGTTTTACTTTACGCCCAAAACTAAGCACTTTCTTCCAATGTGATACTTTCAAAAACACTTTATCGCATTCTTGAATTTTAATTTCTTTTCTTTTCAAATCCGCGTATGACTTTTGTCTGTCTGAGGCCATCTTCAAATTATATTGAATCACTTGAACCTTTTCTTCTACTTCTTTAATAAAGTCTGGACCATGCATTCCCGATCCCTTAATTCATACCAATTGAGTGGTGTTCTGCATTTCCTTCCATATAATGCTTTATATGATGTCATCTTAATTCTGGATTGGTAGCTGTTATTACAAGCAAATTCAACAAGAGGTAAATACTTTTCCCACAATCCAGTAAAATCAATCACACACGATCTCAACATATCTTCCAGAATCTGAATTGTTCACTCTGATTGACCATCAGTCTGAGGATGAAAATCAATGCTAAAATTCAATCGGGTACCCAAAGCTCTTTGAAAAGACTTCTAAAATCTCGAAGTGAATATGGGATCTCTATCAAAAACTATTGAGATTGGAACACCATGCAGTCTCATTATCTCCTCGATATACAATTCAACATATTTTTCTATAGAAAAATCTGTTCGCACAGGGATGAAATGTGCAGTCTTTGTAAGGCGATCCACAATTACCCAAATTGAATCCTTTTTACCCGGAGATAAAGGCAAACCTGTTACGAAATCCATCGTAATGTTTTCCCATTTCCACTGAGGAATTGAGATAGGTTGCAATAATCCCAAAGGCACTTGATGTTCAGCTTTCACTTGTTGGCAATTTAAGCACTTTGCTACAAATTCCGTAATATCTCTCTTCATGCTTGGCCACCAAAAATGCTCTTTCAAGTCTTGATACATCTTTCAAGTTTGTGTTCCCAAAGGCACTCGATTTTTGAAATATAGACACCCATTCGACTTAACCTCGAAGTCCTTGAGTCCACCATTCTCTACTTGCTCGAACCAAGTTAAACACTTATCATCTTTTTTTTTGCAACTCCTTAATCCGCTCTAACAATAATGGCTTCAGCATTAACTCAACCATCAATGCACCATCTTCCTTTAACATAATTTTATGTTGTCAACATATGTGTGCCTACCCTGTAAAATATTTTCGGATCCGCCACTACCTAGACGTTGAGGGTATGTTCATGTTCGTTCGTTTAACTTTAACTGAACAAAAGACCGAACACGAACAACAAAAACGAACACAATTTTCTTGTTCGTGTACGCTCATTAAGAAATTTAGCATGTTCGTGTTCGTTCATGTTCGTTCGTTAAAATGATAAATGAACACAAATGAACGAACATAAAC